TCTCCTGCCTCAGCCTCCCGAGTAGCTGGGACTACAGGCACGCACCATCATGCCCAGCTAATTTTTGTATTTTTAGTAGAGACGAGGTTTCACCTTGTTGACCAGGATGGTCTCGATCTGTTGACCTCGTGATCCACCCGCCTCGGCCTCCCAAAGTGCTGGGATTATAGGCGTGAGCCACCGCACCCGGCCTAGGGATGGAACTTTTATAAGTCACTTGTGGATGCTTCCTAAAAGGAGTTTTGAAAGACAGTTGTTATGTTTCCCAAAGTCATGGGAAGTAACTGGACCCAGTCCATCAAATAAGAACCTCATGTAGCCAGAACCTATGGCAATTTTCTGTGAGTTCAGGATTGAGGACCACGTAAAACTTTATGTTAACTCTTGGGATCCCAAAGATCCAAGAGCAGTGACACACAGGCCTATAATGAGCAGGCATCACCTGACTTTCATGTTGCTGAAAATTAGGCTCACCACCTGTATCTCCTCTAACACCTCTTCCACCCCCATTACACATTATTATAGGTGTATTGTAGAAAATCTGGAAAATACAGAAGGACATCATCCAGGAGTTGCCACTGTTAACGTTTTGTGTATGCCTTCAACTCCATTTTTTCCCCCCGTGTTTGTGGAATTAGTTTTTCGTGTTTTTTTCTTTGTTTTCTTTTCCACTTTATTTTCCATCATTTTATGCTTTTTATGTGCTTCCTTCTAAGGTGACCAAGATGGAGTTTACTGGAAAACTGCGGAGGATGCAGTGGTTGGCAGGTGACCAGAGAAGTGCTTCCTACCCTCATTGCCTTCAGTTTTACTTGCAGCCGCCTTCTGAAAACATATCTTTAATAGAATTTGAAAACTTGGCTATTGATAGAGTTAAATGTAAGTGATATGTAAATTAGAATGTATGTATTCTTGAGAAGCTCACTTACCCTTTGTGAGAATGAATGAAAGTAATTCATTTCCTTCATTCAGCAATCCATTCAACAAATATTTATTGAGGGATTGGTGCTCATTCATTATTTATTGTACAATGCATATTGTTGAGTGCCACTATATTCTAAGTGGCAGGGATTTTGAGATGAATAACATAATTTTTTGTGGAAGGTATATTCTAGTACATGGACACAGACATCCAAAATAATAGACATAAATCAGTAGTTTAACTGCTCTAGCAGAAGTTAATGATAGTGCTGTTGAAACAAAGAAGTGAGAGTGACTGATTTAGTCTGATTAAGTAAGGCTTCTTAGAGATGTTGAAATGTGATCTGGACCTTGAAGAATGAGTAGGAATTTTCCAGCAGAGAAGTGAAGAGTTTTTCCAAGCTGAGATAATGGCCTGTGCAAAGGTTTGGAGCATGAAAGAGAATTTGTTATTTGAGATAACAGTAACAAGTTCAGGAGTTCAGGGTGGATGCAGAAGTACGGATAAGGGCATTTTGTGCCATGCTAATGATGTAATAATGAGGTGTAAGAAGGATATGGCCATTGTCCTAGGGGCCTACTTATCCTCAGTGTGTTGCTAGAGGAAAGAATGGGTTAGACATGAACTGAAATGGAAACACTAGCATTGTCTTCAGAGTTAATGTTCCAGGATATCCTTGTGGGGAAATCAGAAGGAAAGGTAAGATACTGTTAATCATTCTTAGAGGAGCAGGGTGAGCAATGCTAATACAGAGAGGAGGCACCTCCTCAGTACCTGTGTGTTGAGTGAAAGAATGAAGACAAGGGAGAAAAGAGTTTCAGAAAGCTTAGCAGTGTCAGATACTTCAGAGGGATTAAGATAGTGATTGAAAAGCGTCCCTTGAGTTTGGCTCTTGAGGTGAAATGATAAGGGCCTGAACTACTGCAGTGACAATGGCAGTGATAGGAAGGGGGGAGAGATATAAGGGATGTTGAGGTGGGGCATGATAGGATTTGGTGACTGGATATGAGGAGTGAGGGAGCAGCTGTGGAGTGGCTGAAGTTCCTGCTTGGATGATCTGATGCATAGAAACTCTGCTGATGGAGGTGGGCATGGCAGGAAGAGGAGTAGGAATGAGGGAAGGATAATTAAATTTGGATACCATGATAAGGAGGTACCTGTGGGACATGAGTTTATGTTCAGCTGACAATTAGAAGTTTTTGGTTCTTGATTTCAAAAATGCCTCCAGATATTTATTCATCTGAGGAATGATTGGTAAGGTGCTTTAGGAACCTTTGAACAATATGTAGCACCTGTTCAGGATGGTTCATTTGGCTGATTGGATGTCCCTTCTTCATTGTTGTGCCCTGCCCTTGGCTTCATCAGGAAAGGAAGGGCTGCTTTTTTTCTGATGAATCTATGCTGAGTAAATGAAACCAACTGCCTAACAGGCAGCTCCATTTGAAGGATGCACACAAGGAGTGCTTAGTTTTTTTTTCCATATTGACATACTTTTCTGTTCCTCAGCAACAGTCGCTCCGTACAGGAATGATTATTCACCATCCATCCCTCTTCCCTTAATGAGAATCCCTGGTATTAGATTATGCTGTGGGACATGGATATTTTTTGCATGTAAATGGACATTTTTCTCTTATAAGCATGTGTAGTTTATATAATGTAGTTACAGGAAATAAACTGGCAATTACTTATCATGTTCTGTAAACAGGTAATTGTGGAATTGCCCTCCATAGATTTTGTCTTGGATTTAGTTTTAAAACAATATCTTAGGCTGGGTGTGGTGGCTCATGCCTGTAATCCCAGCACTTTGGGAGGCCAAGGAGGGCAGATCACAACGTTGGAAGATCAAGACCATCCTGGCCAACATGGTGAAACCCCATCTGTACTAAAATACGAAAAAATTAGCCGGGGATGGTGGCATGTGCCTGTAGTCCCAGCTATTAGGGAGGCCGAGGCAGGGAAATCTCTTGAACCCAGGAGGTGGAGGTTGTAGTGATCGTGCCACTGCACTCCAGCCTGGCGACAGAGCAAGACTCTGTCTCAAGAAAACTAAAAAACAAAGAAACAAGAAAGACATTATCTTGTGTTTATGCCTTTTTTCTTTTTTTTAGTGTTAAAATCAGTTGAAAATCTTGGAGTGAGCTATGTGAAAGGAACAGACCAATACCAGAGTAAGCTGGAGAATGAGCTTCGAAAACTCAAGTTTTCCTACAGAGTAAGTAAAAAAGGAAAAAAAAATTCCTTCAGTTTCTGTATATTTATGTATCGAGTGTAACTCATGGGAAAGGGCTTATATTAAGCACTCGGCTTTTATAAAGGGTAATGTATCATGGCCTCTGCATGAAGGTACTTCAGTCTGTTAGGGGTGATTGACGTGAAGTCAGATGATTATAATATGGTAGGGTTTCTCAACCTCAAGACTAACATCATTTTGGGTCTAATAATTCCTTGTTGCAGGGACTGTCCTATGCATTGTAGGATGCTCAGTAGCATCTCTGGCTTCTACCCCTACATATTTCCAGACATTGCCAAATCTATCCCGTACAATATAGGATAATGACTGTGTTTATAGATGTGTGCTCCAGGAACTCCAAAAGCATATATAATAGCTCAAATTGGGGAGGTTTGGGAACACTTTCCAGAAGAGGTAGTACTGGAGCTGCGTGTTGACAGATGTGATCAGATTTTCATTTTGGGAAGATGACTGCCAACAGCAGATTGAGAGGGTCATGTTTCTTAGGAGGGAAACCAGTTAGAAGCCTGGAAATGATGAGAGGCTGAATTAAACGAGAGAACGGGACTGATTGAAGAGGTATTAAGAAGGTGAAATCAAAAGGTTTTAGTGACTGATTTTAGGGGGAATGGAGAGAGAAGAGTGACAAATGACACCCAGGTTTCTAATTAGGAAAAGTAGTGGATGGTGGTGTGTGATATGTAGGAGGAGAACTCAGTCTTGGAAGATGTAGAGTTTAGTTCTCAACATGAATTTGAGGTGCCTGTGGAGATGTCTAGTGGACAATTGGATATATAGGTCTGGGTATACAGAAGACATCTGGTGGGAGTATAGATTTAGCAGATGGTTGGAATCATCAGGAGTAGGTAAGAGCACCTGAGCATAATATTTGAGTGAGAAGAGATGATGATGGAAGACAAGACATGAGGAATACTAATGTTGAAGGTAAAGTGGAATTGGAGGAGTTTGGGAAGGAGATTGAAAAGGAGGTTTCTGAGAAGTAGAAGATGAACCAGGATAGTAGTGTCATAGAAGCCAAGGAGGGCTGGAGTTTCAGTAATGATCATGATGTAAATAATGATAACGGAATAACAGCTGCAGATATTCATATTAATAGTATGTTTACTATGCACCAGACTTTGTTCTAAGTGCATTACATATATTAACCCATGTATGTAATTCATATAGCAGTCTTAGGAGGTAGGTATTATTATCATCCTTATTTTACAGATACAGCCTATTTATTGATAGGCTGAATACCTTGCCCAAGCTCATAATATGGTAAATGGTGAAGCCAAGATTCAAATCTGGGTATTTTGTTTCTGTGGTAGTGCTTTTAACCACAACAGTTTCAGAAGCTGAAGATAGATTACATAAGAGGAATTGTACAGTGTCCATTGGATTTAGCAGCAGGTTGGACCCTTGTAGATAGGGGTAGAGACCAGAACAATGACAGTGGTTGGAGGAGAAAGATGGAGAGGTGGATATGGAAGATGTACTGTTTTAAAATGTGTAGCTGAAAAAAGAGAAATAGGGCAGAATATAGAGGTTGTTTTAGGGAAAAGAGAAGATACACAAGCACACATTTGTACACGTATGACAGGACATACTTAAACACATGTATAAACTGAGCACAGAAGATCTAGAATAGAAAGAGGAAGAGAGGACCTTGAAGATAAAACTTTGAGAGAGCATTTGATAAATGAGGGTCCATAAGAGGCACAAGCAAATGGGTTGGGGGGTTTAGGTGCAAGAATTAGCTTCTCATATGGTTTGGCTGTGTCCCTACCCAAATCTCATCTTGAATTGTAGTTCCCGTAATCTCCATGTGTTGTGGGAGGGACCCTGTGGGAGGTAATTGAATCATAGAGGCAGTTACCCCTATGCTGCTGTTCTCGTGATAGTGAGTGAATTCTCATGAGATCTGATGGTTTTATAAGGAGCTTTTCCTTGGCACTTCTCCTTACTGCCACCATGTAAAGAAGGACATGTTTGCTTCCTCATCTGCCATGTTTGTAAGTTTCCTGAGGCCTCCCCATCCCTGGGGAACTGTGAGTCAGTTAAACCTCTTTCCTTTATAAATTCTTGGGTATGTCTTTATTAGCAGCATGAAAATGGACAAATACAGCTTTACATGCCGGGAAGAGGAGATGCTCTGTAGAGATGGATGGAAGGCAACACAACATGTGTATGCAGAAGCCTGGTACTGAAGGATTCTGCCTAGTAGTCTTTATTTTCTGTAAAGTATGTGAAGTCATGTGTTCAGAGAGAAGGGAAAGGTGCTCTAGTGGGGGTCTTGGGACAGCTGGTGAAGACTGAAGATTTTCTGAGGAGTGAGGAAGAAAATGATTTTGTGTCAAATATCAATATTGCTTCTTATTCTGGACAACCTTAGTGACCCCGAACAAGTTATATAACTTCTCTGTGCCTCAGTTTCCTTATCTTTAAAATAGGATTATAGTAGTGCCTAACTTGTAGGGTATTTTTTTTTAAGGATTAAATGGGTTAATGCCTTAAAAAATGCTAAGGGCATTGAGTGGTACCTAGTAAGTGCTCAAGACATGTTTGTTCTTATTATTTTGGAACTAAGTATTCCATGACAGTGGTAAGGATCTAGTTGAGATTATAGACCATGAAATTATATTTTCCCAGTTCCCATAGTTGTGTGTGTTTTTTTTCTTCACAGGTTCTTAGCATTTTGGGAATAGGACTGCAGAGTGTCATTTTAGATTAAGTAAGAATCTAAGTTTTACCAAATGGTTCAAATTAAAGAAGTTGAGGTTGTTGTAAGAAGTTGTTGAAGTGGAGAGCACCATGGGTATAGGCTGGATAAGAAGAAAATTAAAAGAGAGGAGTTGGTGGGAAGAAAGTAGTGGGGTCTAAACCGAAGAAGTTTTGTTGAGATTAGTTTACTTCTCAGTTTCATCTGATTGGTAACTGAAGTAAAATGATAATTACCCTGAAAAGCATATTAAAAAATGTTCTGGCAGTGACAACACATGGACACAGGGAGTGCAACACCACCCAGTGGAGCCTGTCAGCCAGTGGAGGACAACAGGAGGGAGAGCATTAGGACAAATACCTAATGCATGTGGGGCTTAAACCTAGATGATGGGTTGATAGGTGCAGCAAACCACTCTGTTACATATATACCTATATAACAAACCTGTACTTTCTGCGCATATGTCCCAGAACTTAAAAGAAAAAAAAAAATGTTTGGGGACTGGGTGTGGTGGCTCATGCCTGTAATTCTAGTGCTTTGGGAGACCAAGGTGGGACGATTGCTTGAGACCAGGAGTTGTAACCAGTCTTGGGAACATACTGAGACCCAATTTGTACAAAAGATAAAACATTAGCAGGGTGAGGTGGGTGTTGCTTGTAGTTCCAGATACTTGGGAGGTTGAGTCTGGAGCATCACTTGAGCCCAGGAGTTTGAAGTTATAGTGAGCTGTGATTGACCATTACCCTCTAGTTTGGGTGATAGAGTGAGACTCCTTCTCTAAAAAAAAGAAATGTTTTTGAAACTTACTTTACCATTGGCTTAGGCTGGCTTAGTATTTATTTATAATAACTCTTACCATTCTAATGTATTAATTTTGTTCATGTGTCATTATTTTTAAGGAAAACTTAGAAGATGAATATGAACCACGAAGAAGAGATCATATTTCTCATTTTATTTTGCGCCTTGCCTATTGCCAGTCGTGAGTATATGTTTATGTTCTCACAGTCAAATCTGGTGTCTTGGGTTATAAATTGGTATGTAGTAAGTTGATGTGTGGTGCTGAACATAGGAAAACCCTGAATAACATCAGGAACTAGTTGATCATGGGTTGAACACTGTTACAGTAAATTGTTTGGAACATATTATTTACTTAAAAATATTGAAAAAAATTCTTGCAAAAGTTTGCCTGATGAAACATATCTTAAGTTTGTGAGAGAGACTCTTCATTTGAGATTTTAAACCAGAAGGGGTTTTATTAGGAAGAAGGACTTTTGATGATATAAAATGATATCATTTTCCTGCAATAAAATGAAAATATTTATAAGAAAAAATTAAGCCCACACTTGAATTTGATACAGGTTTTTGGAATTTGAGCTCTGTGGGCCTTGTAAATCCAAGACATTTTTGTTTGGTAGTTGGTTTCTTTTAAGTTAATAGTGCCACCCAGAGGTAGAAAGAGTTACTTGCTTTTTTTTTTTTTTTT